AAAATACTCAGAATTAGTATTATATTAATACTATAACATGAATTCATTTTATCTGTGTAACTGAGGCAGGGGAATAAGGATGACTTGGACAGGCTCCCTGGAGCTGAAGAGTCTCCACACTGACCTATGATTGGCCCATTCCAGGACCTTCATTTGCATAAGTTGCCAAACCATATCAGCCTCTGATTGACCACAGGCCAAATCTGCACTCTAGCCAATGACTGGTTCATTCTAGAACCTTCCTTTGCATAAGGTGCCAAACCACATCAGTCTTGGATTGGCCATGGGCCAATTTACCTCAGCCTCTAGTTGGCTGTGAGCCAGTCCTTCATTTACATAGGGTGTAACCAACAAGAAACCTCTAGAGGGTACTTAAGCTTCCAAAGACTTCACTACCAGGGCTCTTGAGCCAATTGCTAGAGCCCGCTCTCATCTTGTGGAGTGTACTTTTGCTTTTGCTCCTTCCCTGCTTTCTGCTCTAATAAATCCACTTCTTCACTGCTCGTTTGTGTGTGTCATTCAATTCTTTGTTCAACACACCAAGAACCTGGACACTTCACGACTGGAACCCTTAATTAGGTAACATAATTAGGAAGGCACTGCTCTGGCTTCCTTAAAATGACCATATCAGCTTGTGAGCCTATCATAGCTTTTAGAAAAATAATATCAATAACATCAATCATAAAGTAAACCTGGGCTGGCCCATGATCCAACTGAATTTACCTGCATTATTTGTCATTATCATGTTACTATTCTAGTTACCAAAAAAATAACTTTCTTGGTTTCAGCATTCAGGAACAAACTCTAAAATATTCATATAGTTTTTGAATTCCAAAAATATTTCAAATCTAGAAAGGCTTATGCACTTTAATAACTGTTTTTCTTGAAATTGTGTATCTTTTTTCATCTATGTTGTGTTGTATCAGTAGTTTCTTCCCTTTTCATTCATGAATATTATTTTATGAATGTACCACAATTTGACTTATTAATGATTGCTGAACATTTGACTTGTTTCCAGTTTGAGCTACAGTGAACACAGCTGCTATAAACACTTAACTATAGGTGTTTGTGTGGCTATAAGTTTTCATTTCTGTTGGGTAAAAACCTAGGGGAATTGCTGGGCCACAAGGTAAATGTGTATCTACCTTTTAAGAAACTGCAAAACAGTTCTGCAAATTGATCTTCTCCCAGGCAGTATAATGTATCATTATACACCTGTATATGAGGGTAAATGAGGTACTGATCACCTCAAGCATTTATCCTTTGTGTTACAAACAATCCAACTATGCCATCTTAGTTATTTTAAAATCTACAATTAAAATTATTGACTATAGTTACCCTGTTATGCTATCAAATACTAGATCTTATTCATTCTAACTACTTTTTTGTATCCATTAACCACCCTCCCTTCCCCTCACCCCCATATTACCCTTCCCCGCCTCTGGTAACCATCCTTCTACTCTATCTTCATGAATTCAACTGTTTTAATTTTTAGCTCCCAGAAATGAGAACACATGAAGTTTGTCTTTCCGTGCCTGTTTTATTTCACTTAACATAATGATCTCCAGTTCCACCATGTTGCAAATGACAGGATCTCATTCTTTTCTATGGCTGAATAGTACTCCATTGTGCACATGTACCACATTTTCTTTATCCACTCATTTGTTGATGGACACTTGAGTTGCTTCCAAATATTGGCTCTTGTGAATAGTGCTGCAATAAACATGGGAGTGCAGATATTACTGATTTCCTTTCTTGTGGGTATGTACTCAGCAGTGGGATTGCTGGATCATATGATAGCTCTACCTTTAGTTTTTTGAGGAACCTCCAAACAGTTCTCCATATAGTGGCTCTAATTTACATTTCCACCAACAATGTAGGAGGGTTCCCTTTTCTCCACATCCTCGCCAACATTTGTTATTGCCTGTCTTCTGGATAAAAGCCATTTTAACAGGGGTGACATCTCATTGTGATTTGAATTTCTCTGATGATCAGTAATGTTGAGCACCTTTTCACATGCCTGTTTGCCATTTGTATGTCTTCTTTTGGGAGATGTCTATTTAGATCTTTTGCCAATTTTTAAATTGGATGATTAGATATTTTCCTGTAGAGCTGTTTCAGCTCCTTGTATATTCTGGTTATTAATCCCTTGTCAGATGGATAATTTGCAGACATTTTCTCCCATTGTGTGGGTTGTCTCTTTACTTTGTTCATTGTTTCCTTTGCTGTGGAGAAGCTTTTTAACTTGATGTGATCCCATTTGGATGACTTTTTTTTTCATAGGAAAATGTGCTCACCTCCAGGGATGAGTTGTTAGCGGTGGTCAGACGTCTCTGAATGCGGTAGCCCTCCGGGAGTTGTAACTTCCTTAACGCTGCCGAGTCCGCTTACAGGTGTTTCTCCCTTCCTGCACCTAGAGCTGCTTGAGAATTGGGGCCGGGTCTTAGTCATCTTAGTAGTCTCAACTCCCAGCAGAGTCTGGGACAGCACAGGTTTCAACATGCATTGTTGAATTGAACAGCAAATCTCTCCAGTGGCCAGGATGGTGTGAGGGGAGCGAAAGCTCAGGTGGGTGTGGCCTACTCCTTTATGTCTCATTTTTTGTGGTAGCGAAGGCACCAATGGTCATGAATTTCATCTAAAAACACAATAAATTGAAGCACAGTGAAGGTTATCAAGGCGGTGGGAAGGTCCTACTAAAGACAGAGTATGAAGACTGTTGAAAACATAAAAATCAAGCATATTATGATTTTAAAAATGAAGAGTTATGAGGGGCTTGTTTGTAATACCATACCTGAATTGCCTCACCCCACACGTGGGCCTGGATATGGGTGGGAGGGGAAGGCAGTGTTGGAATTTTTAGCTGCTGCCTAACTCTCATTTGGGCTGAAATGCTCTGAGCCCCATGAAGCATGCGTGGTGAGAGGTCCTGATTCACAGAGCTCCTTCCCACAACATCAGTGATCCTGCGTCTAAACCATTCCTTGTCTGCTTCTTTTCTGTTTGTTGTTGTGGTTTAGCTGGGGAAAGTAAAATGTCTAATGGAAGAAAGTGGGCGGGTCACTCCTTCTTAACCAAGTCATCCAGCTGCTGGACTCTCCTAGAGATGCTTCCATTTAGCATGGAAAACTCTCTTTTTCATTCCTCCTTCCTCGCCTCCCCCACCTCCACTTTTATCCCCTAGAGCAAATTCAGGGCCTCTCTGAATTGGTACCACCTTACATTAATTGGCACTAATGCAAGTATTCACGGCTGTGCGTGGGATGCTTCTGAGTGCAAAATGGATCTGTCTGTGCCTGGGAACGGTTCTTTCACTTCAGGTGTGTAATTTACTGTTCTGTGAGATGCGTTCCCCGGGCGCCCCTGCTGCACCAAGCAGCACCTCAGCTGCTACTACAGAAGGGCTCAGCAACAGACGTTTGCTTATGGTCATAAATCTTAGCAGACACACCTGTACATGACCACAACATGCAGTTATAGAAACAAAGAGCTTCCCATCAAGCTGAAACTGATCCAGGAGGTGTGGGTGCCTTGGCAGCAAAGGGGGGCCATTACCAGGGGAGCCCAGGTGACCGTGGAGGAGCTCAGGGAGCACCCTAGAGGCGGCTGGGGGTTGGGCACAATGAGCTTTTGAGAGAGGCTGGGATTCAGAATTGCTGTCTGCTCTCATCCACTAATAAGCCCTGTGATTGCAGGCAACTCACCTTAAATTTCTTAGCTATGGATTTCTCAAATAACACTCCTGGAACTTAGATCTGTCATCTTAAAATTTGTTTTCTATTTATCTCACTTGTTTTATATTCCTTTTCTTCTCCTTTCTTGCCCATCTTTTGGATTATTTATGTGTTTAAAAATTATTCCTGGCTGGGTGCAGTGGCTCATGCCTATAATCCTAGCACTTTGGGAGGCCAAGGTGAGAGGATCGCTTGAGCCCAGGAGTTCGAGACCAGCCTGGATAATGCAGTGATACCCATCTCTATTTAAAAAAAAAAATTAGCTGGGTGTGGTGGCACGTACCTGTAGTCCAGCTACTTTGGAGGTTGAGATGGAAAGATTGCTTGAGGCCAGAAGTTTGAGGCTGCCGTGAGCTATGATCATGCAACTGCACTCCAGCCTGGGCAACAGAGAAAACAAAAAACAAAAATATTCCATGTCCCACGTCTATCAGCTATCAATAAAGGAGTGTATTAAGTTATACACTCCTTTACTGGTTATCCAAGGGCCCAGAGATTACAATAGCACTGCCTTATTAGACTCGAATATAAAGTTGCACATCTATTCCTGGACAACGCACACACCCTAAAAAGTCTGACTCTATTTACTTTCAATCCTGCCTTTTGTGCAGGATTTAATTCTAAATATATATAAGACCTCACAAAGTATCAGTCATTATTGACAGCCAGCATTCTTTTAGATTTACCCGCATAGTCATCCTTTCTCTTATTCTTCGTTTCTTTCTGTGTGTGATAGAACAATTGCCCCCACAAAGACGTCTCATTCTAATCTCTGGAAACTGTGAATATGTTAGGGGGAATAAAGGTTCCAGGAGGAACTAAGGCTGCTCATCAGTTTAGAGGGATTATCCTGGGCTGGCCCAATTAGTCATCACTAGAAGCCTTAACTGTGGAAGACAGAGGCAGGAGAGGAGAAGGAGAGATGGCAGTGCCAGAAGGCCTCAGCTCAGCATTGCTGGCTTTAAAGATGGCGGACAGGACCTTGATCAAGGGAACACAGGAGACCTCTAGACCCGGTAAAGTCAAGAAACAGACTATCCCCTGGAGTCTCCAGAAGGGAATGCAGCCCTGTGGACACAGATTTTAAGCTCAGTGGGACCCATGTCAGAATTCCCATCTCCAGAGCTGTAAGATAATACACATTGTTTTAAACTATGATGTTTGTGGCCATTTATTACAGCGGCAAGTGGAAACTAATATTCTGTATTGAGGGGTGACAATGTACTAGCAGCCCTCACTCTGGGCGCCTCCTCTGCCTTGGTATTCACTCTGGCGGTGCTTGAGGAGCCCTTCAGCCCACCACTACATGTGGGAGCCCCTTTCTGGGCTGCCGAGGCCGCAGCCGGTTCCCTCTACTTGCGAGGAGGTGTGGAGGGAGAGGCGTGGGCCGGAAGTGGGGCTGTGCGCGGCACTCGCGGGCCAGCGTGAGTTCCGGCGGGCGCGGGCTCGGTGGGTCCCCACACTCGGAGCGACCAGCCCGCGCTGCCAGGCCCGGGTAGTGAGGGGCTTAGCAACCGGGCCAGCAGCTGCGGCGGTTGCTCCAGGTCCCTCAGCACTTCCAGCGCTGGGCTCAAATTCTTGCTGGGCCTCAGCTGCCTCCCCGCGGAGCAGGGCTCAGGACCTGCCCCCGCCATGCCCAAGCCCCCGCTTCTCTGCTTTGGGCTCCCGCGCGGCCCAAGCCTCCCGGACGGGCGCTGCCCCCTGCTCTGTGACGCCCAGTCCTATCACCCACCCAAGGGCTGAGGAGTACCGGTGCACGGTGCAGGACTGGCAGGCAACTCCGCCTGCAGCCCAGGTGCGGGATCCACTGGGTGAGGCCAGCTGGGCTCCTGAATCTGGTGGGGACTTGGGGAACTTTTATGTCTAGCTAAGGGATGTAAAGCCACCAATCAGCACTCTGTGTCTAGCTCAGGGTTTGTAAATACACCAATCAGTACTCTGTGTCTAGCTCAATGTTTGTAAATACACCAATTGTTACTCTGTATCTAGCTAACCTAGTGGGGACTTGGAGAACTTTTCTGTCTAGCAAGCACACTGTGTCTAGCTCAAGGATTGTAAATACACCAATTGGTACTCTGTATTTAGGTAACTCTCTGTCTAGCTAACCTAGTGGGGACTTGGAGAACTTTTCCGTCTGGCACTCTGTGTCCAGCTCAAGGATTGTAAATGCACCTATGAACACTCTGTCAAAACGGACCTATGAGCTCTCTGTAAAATAGACCAATCAGCTCTCTGTAAAATGGAGCAGTCAGTGGGATGTGGGTGGGGTCAGATAAGGGAATAAAAGCAGGCTGCCCGAGCCAGAAATGGCAGCTGGCTCAGGTTGCAGGCTGTGGAAGTTTTGTTCTTTGGCTCTTTGCAATAAATCTTGCTGCTGCTAACTGTTTGGGTCCACGCTGCCTTTATGAGCTGTAACACTCACTGGGAAGGTCTGCAGCTTCACTCCTGAAGCCAGCGAAACCACGAACCCACAGGGAAGAAGGAATAAACTCCGGACACACCATCTTTAAGAACTGTAACACTCACAGCAAGGGTCCGCGGCTGCTTTCTTGAAGTCAGCGAGACCAAGAACCCACCAATTCCGAACACAGTTTCTCTGTGTTTTCATGCAGAATCATTTTGCTTCTATCTGAAGAACTTGTTTTAGTCATTTTCTTTATGAAAATGTGGATCTGTGGTAATGAATTTTGTCAGATTCTGTTTGAAAATGCTTTTCTCATGGCTTCGTTTCTTTGGTTTGCAATTTTACTGATTTCTGCTCTTAATTATTTCCTTCCTGTTGCTTATGTTGGGTTGAATTTGCTATCCTCTAGTTTTACAAAATGAAAACTTAGAGCATTGATTGAAAACCTTTCTTCTTCCCTCATAAGCATTTAATGCTACAGACTTCTCTCTAAACAATGCTTTAGTTGCTTGCAACAAATTTTGATATACTGTAATTCTATTTTCATTTAGTTCAAAATATTAAGATTTTGTCTTTGACTCATGCGTAATTTAGAAGTGTATTGTTTATTTCCAAATATTTTGGAGTTTAACAGAAATCTTTGTTACCGATTTCTAGTTTGATTCCATTATGGTCTGAGAATATACTCTGTATGATTCCTATTCTTTTAAATTTGTTAAGGTTTGAATATGGTCTCTCTTAAGGAATGTACACTTGTAAACAATGTGTATTCTGCTTTAGGTCAATTTGATCAATAGTGTTGTTCAGCCCTATATTCTTACTGATTTTCTGTTTACTTGTTCTGTTGATTCCTGTGAGAGGAATATTGAAGTCTCCAACTACAATTGTAGATTGGTCTGTTTCTTCTTTCAGTTTCATGGTGTTTTGCTTCATGTAATTTGAACCTCTGTTGTTAGGTCCATTTAGGGCAGTTTTGTCATCTTGGAGAATGGATTATCATTATATAAAGTTCCTCTTTATCCTTAATAATATTCCTTGTTCTGAAGTCTGCTTTGTTTTGATATTGATACAGCTGCTCCAACTCTCTTTTCATTAGTGTTTGTCTTTTTTTTCCCATATTCCAAGAACCTATTTTTGTATTTTTGCTTAAAGAAAGTTTGTTGTAGACATCATGTGGACAGGTCTTGCTTTTTTGTCCAGTTTGTCAAATTTGTCTTTTAATTGGTGTGGTTAAACTGTTCACATTTAATGCAATCACTGATATATCTATATTAAAATCTATCTCGTTAGCCATTTTCTGTTTGTTCCATCTGTCTTTGTTTTTAATCCTCCCCTGTTTGCCTTCTCTTATGTGTAGTGACCATTTAAAAACTTTCATTGTTCTCCTTTATTGATATTGTTGTATCTTGCAATTTGTTTTAGTGAGTGCTCTAGGGTTTAAACCCACATCTTTAATAAAGTCTACAGTCAAAGCGTATTATACCACTTCATACGTAGTGTAAAAATATTACAGCAGTACATCCCCAATTCTTCCCTCTGTCCTGAATGCTACGATTGTCATTTATTTTCTGTTTCATATGTGATAAACACACAATACATGCCTATATTTACAGAATCAGTTACCTTTTAGAACAATTAAAAATAAGAAACTTTATTGTACCTTTAGTCATTCAATTTCTAGTCTCCTTTATTTCTTTGCATAGGTCCAAGTTTCTGTCTGGTGTTATATTCCTTCTGCCTGAATAATTTCATTGAACACTCTTGTAGAACATATCTGCCAGCCCTTGAATTCCCTTAGTATTTGTTGTCTGAAAAAGGTTTTACTTTTCCTTCATTTTGTTGTGTAGAGAACTCTGGTTGACAGCTTTTTTTTCTTTTTTCTTTTATCACTTGTATGAATTCCGATGTGAAGGCTGTTTAATTCTTACTTTGTTTTCCTATATATAATGTGTCTTATTTCTCTGGCTGCCTTTGAGGTTTTTCTCATTGTCTTTTGTTTTCAGCAGTTTAATATGTGAAGGGTGTATATGTATATATACATGTGTGTGTGTCCTCATTTTTCTTTTTGTTTTCAGTTTGGGTGATTCCTATGAACCAGTATCACTGGTTCACTCCTTAGCTGGGTCAAATCTACTGATGAGTTCATCAAAGACTTTCTTCATCTCTGCTACTTTTTGTTATTGCCGTTGCTGTCATTTTTTAAAATTTCTAGCATTTACTTTTAATTCTTTCTTAGAGTTTCCGTCTCTGGTGAAATTGCCCATCTGATCTTGCCTGTTGTCTACCTTCTCCATTAGAGCTTTTAGTATATTAATCACAGTTATTTAAAATTTTCTATTAGATAGTTCAGATATCTCCATCATAGCTGACTCTGGTTCTGATGAGTGCCTTGCCTCTTTGAGAGTGTTATTATTCTCTTGCCTTTTCACATGCTGCTTCACTTTTTGCTGAAAGCCAGGTATCTCACATATGTAGTAAACTAGGGTCAATCATTCTGTAGGCTGCGATGAGCACACTTTTGGTTCCTGCCGGGCCTTCTGTGCTGGGATGTGAAATAAGCTAGTTAGGGATGAGGTTGGACTGAGGTTTGTTGTTGCTGTGGTTAACTTCAGTGCATTACAAGCCTTAGATTTCTCTAATGACACCTCCTGTTTAGAGAAGGGGCAGATTTGCCAGAGGGTTTTTCCTTCAATGTGTGTTCCATGCTCATTTTAAAGTGGTCGTCGTCGTCTTTTTTTTTTTTCAGAGAAGGTCTGTTTATACACTCTTGTCCCTCTTCTCTCCCTGGCCCAGGAGTTCTATACTCTCACCTGTTATTCAGTGCTAGTTAGCCTTGTAGTAGTGGGATAACGAGGGGAATATTCTCTGTTGTTCTGATAGAACCTCAGTCTTAGACAGGCACTATGTCTCCAAGACTCAGAAGTGTTGGCTTTTCAGTGCTGCTGCTCCTCTGCTGAGTGTAGTGCTGGACCCAGCGCATATTTCTTACTCCCTATCTCCTCATAGTGATAGGGTATTTTTTTTCTGGTTCTCTTCCACCAGCTGCGAAGCATTTTCACTGGTGCCCTAAGGAAAATAGTGTTTGTTGCCTTTCCCTGCACAGATTAAGGATTTATTTCAAATGGGTGATACAAGAGAAGGCTGTGGATGGATTTTGCACCCCTCCCATTGTGTTTGCTCTTCTTTTCTCCTGTTTTACACCTCAAGGAACACTTTTGTAGGGCTCTTTTCAATTTTTGTGAGCTCCCAGTGGGGTCCATGGAAAAACAGCCTGAAGAAGGGACAGATTCTCTAATTTCTTTTTTTTTTTCTTTTTTGAGATGGAGTCTCACTCTGTTGCCAAGGCTAGAATGCAGTGGTGCAATCTCGGCTCACTGCAGCCTCTACCTCCCAGGTTCAAGTGATTTTTCCTGCCCCAGTCTCCCAAGTAGCTGGGATTACAGGCATGCTCCACCATACCTGGCTAATTTTTATATTTTTAGTTGAGATGGGGTTTCACCATGTTGGCCAGGCTGGTCTTGAACCCCTGGCCTCAAGTGATCCACCTGCCTTGGCCTCCCAAAGTGCTGGGATTACAGGTCTGAGCCACCAGGCCCGGTCAAGATTCTCCAATTTCTTTGACTCATAGGGGCTTCACACACTTGCCAGTGCATGCACAGCTTTCAGCAATTCACTAACTATGCTCACTGAACTCCTCTTATAAGCATACACTTGTGTCCACCTCTGGGAAACCAGTGCTCATATCTAATCTTTCCCTTAAGGTCTTAGATTTATATCTCTTTAGATTTGGGTCCATTTGATTTCTCTGAAACCTAAGTTCTCTGATAGTGTTTAGAAAGTAATGAACTTTCAGATTGTCCAGCTTTTTCATATTAGTGTGGGAGCAATGCTGTTTTCAGATCTTTATATGCCCAAGCAGCTTGTTTTCCTTTTTATATGGGTAGTTTTGCTGGGTATAAAATTCAAATATAATTCTAAAGTTTGGGAGTTACATTATTTTAGCCCTTTTATGTGATTTTGTTGTTCATTGGTTTCCACTATGTTTATTGAAAAGTATGTTGTCAGTCTTACTGTTGCTTCCTTGAATGGTAACGTGCTTTTCTCCCCTTGCTGCTTTAAAAAAATAGGTTTTATTTTTGAAAACAGTTTCAAATTCATAGAAAAATTGAGTCTGAGCATGGTGGCTAACATCTGTAATCCCTGCACTTTTGGATGCTGACGTGGGAGGGTCGCTTGAGCCCAGGAGTTCAAGACCAGTCTGGGCAACATGGTGAAACCCTGCCTGTACAAAAAATATAAAAAATTAGCTAGGCATGGTGGCATGTGCCTGTGGTCCCAGCTACTCAGGAGACTGAGGTGGGAGGATTACTTGAGGCCAGGAGGTAGAGGCTGCAGTGAACCATGATC